ATGAAAATTACAGGCCTCTCTCATCTTTTTAAGTGGGAGAACTTGCACAATTGGTGGCTGACTAAATACTTTTTTGCCCCACTGTATTAAACAGTTTACGTAAATATTACATACTTGCTTGGTCATGACCAGCTAGATAAATTGCAGGCAAGATAGTAGCCATACATACACAGAAGATCTGCTAATGCAGAACACTGAGCTCAAAGCTCCCAGTTTTAAATTCTGGGCTTTTTCCTCTTGCTTTTTGAGTCAGCAGAAATTGGCCATGCCTACTCAATATTTATATATGAGTTATGCCTAGTCAGAGAATTGCTGGCTTACAGTTCTTCCTCCCTATTTTCTTCTACTCCTCCCACTCTGAGTCTGGAGGTGCCAAGTGTATGTCCCCCCTCCTTCCTTCTAGTTGTGGGTAACTAAAGGACATTGTACTGCTCCTTCCATTTCCATTTCTTTGCTGGCTGGAGCTGGTAAGTACGGAAGAGAATTATAATGCAACACTGAAAGGATAAATCTGTGCTTGACTTTCAACAATGAACTGCTGTTATATGCATTTTGCCTACATTTCAAATGGTTCTTTTTCAAAAGAGGGATAAGAAAGGAGATTTTCAAGCAATTTGATGTCTTCTTAATTATCATAAATTATATGTTATTATCTTGCAAATTTAACTGTATTTGATACCAGCATTAGAAATGTCCTGAAATTGATAATGGTATAATGTTTTGGGTTGGGTTTGTTTTTGTTTTTTTGAGTTTGCAAAAAAACACAACCAAAAATCATGGTTTATTCATTAAGCTACAATTGGAATGATTCATCTAATGTATTAAATAATGTTTACAAATCACAGTTAGTATAGTTCAAACAACATACTTAAGCCCAGACCACATACTTACATTATTATGGGTTGGTATGATATGTGAACTAGGCCAGTCTTTTTCGATGAGTCTGCGGCATATCCCACAACTTCTCCTCTTTGACAATGACTGTAGAGTTAACAACAAAGAAAAGTAGAGAAGCACAAATGAGCAGACTCTGTTCATAAATTAAAGTTACATACACCAAGCTAATGAAAAATAGAAAACCAATCAATGAAATACCATGCTGAGTTAAATGATATAATAGTATTAGGTTGATACAATTGTATGAAATTCAATAAATATTCTTTAAAATGTCGCAGTGAGATCAGTAACAGATCAATACTTCTGCTGGCAGCGTGCATAGGATCAAACTGACAATGGATCCCCTATGTGTAAAATCAGAAAGTAATGTAAAACTTGCAGAAAAGGCTTGAAATTGCACAGAAAATTTATGCAGTAAGATACAAGAATCTTCAATATCATCCAATTAAGAGCATTAGGTAAGGGTCCTAAACATTTAGAATTCCAAATGCCCAACATGTTGCCAATCAGTAATTCTGTTTCACATGTACTCACAGGCATCCAGAATCAATACTGTAAATACAAAATGCTTTAATGAAGCAATATAGTAATCATTTACCAATTTCCTTGCAACAACAAATCATTACATTAAACCTGATATATTAAATCATATATCATTTTAGAAAGCACTGGATACTCTAAAAGAGCAATGATAAAAGTGCAATCAATTTTCATTCGGTGATTTTGATTTGAACATTCCCTGGCTCTTTATAACAGCCTCCTCCAAAGTTGAACCTTCCGCACACAGGTACACATTTGTTTTAATGTTTAATGAAACAAATGGGCATATTTGCTTTGTCTGATGCACTGACAACCCACATTCACAAAACATATATTTCTTTCTGAAAAAAATACATCAGAGATGTAATGCTAGAAGTAAATGTTTCTAAACTCAGGTGGATTTACTTCAACATTTTCAGTTGTTAAATATGAAGCTTTATAACATTGTTGGTCCATGGATTGATAGAAAATTCCCAGTAAAGAAATTATTTTTATTTTAAAATCGTCAAGCATTTTCATCAAGCAGGAAGTTAAACCCAAGAATAGGGGGAAGCTGGGGATGCCATCTTTGTTTTCTGGATCTATAGCACAATAATCTCAAGTTGGAATGCAGAAGTTGTTTTACAGGTAAAATTAAATTTGTTTTGCAAGGTGCATCTGAGGATATTAACAAGGTAAAGCCAAACAACTGCCCACCTCCATTTTAGGGGAAATAAAAATTTAGTAATTTTTCAAATCTATTCCACATCCTGTACAATATACAAGAGGTCCTTGTATATTAATAAAGGTATGGTAATGGTATGTGGGAACAACCTTAGGAGACAGCAGGAAGAGCCACAGCCTAGACAACAGACTGATAAACGAAA